ATCTTGCAGATGTTTTAAGGTTATAAAGAGCATAATAAATGTTTAGTCAAAATATATTTGCTTATCCCCTCCAAAAACTTGATGACGTCAGCTCGAAAATTTGCCGAATAAATCGTATCTAAAATGTACAAAATATGATGAGTTTGTACTTGTGATTTATCATTCCATTCATATTTTTGGATTTGCATATGCAGGGTGACTCAAAAAAATGAATGAAGGCGTGAATTTATTTTATCGATTTAATCAGGAATTACAAAACCGAATGCTTTGAAATCTTGGGAATAGTTTAAAGTTATTATAAGCATGGTAAACTTTTGTTCAAAATGTATTTGTTCATCCCTCCTAAAAAAATTGATGACGTCACCCTTAAATTTTGCTGAATAAATCCTATCTAAAATGCAAAAAATATGATGAGTTTGTACTTGTGATTTATCATTCCATTCATATTTTTTAGATTTTCTTAAGAGGTGGTTCAAAAAAATTAATGAAGTCAATTTATTTTATTGATTAAATTAAAGGCAACACTTATTATTAGTATTACACCCCAACCAACCCAATTTGGTAGACACAAAATTTGTTAAAGGAAAAACTCGGTTGAAACATAAGGGTAGCATCGCTTATTTACATCGACTTTAACATTACAGAACTGCATTTGTTTTATGCGATCACTTGGTTCCGCGAATGTGAAATAGACATGTTTATAATCAACCAATTGTGAATTTCACCGTGAAGAATTAAAATAAAACCCAATGTTTTGTATAATAAGCGGAAGTCGAAGCAATAAAACCGATGGTCGTGTTGTTTACAGTTTCTCTGTTCGACTCTCACGTATGCTGTTACGCTTGTCATCTTAAATTAAGAATGTTTATACATAAACGATTTTCAGTTGCCGTATACGCGAATAAATTGTTTCGTTATTTTATTGATTATATTCAAAACGACCCAATTCATTTTCCCGAAAATTTGGGAATACAATAATTTTATTCTTAGTATTACACTACATCTATCCCAACTGATATACGTGTCCTTGCAAAAATGTTGATGACGTCATCGCAATTTTTTTTAAATTCCCACTACAAAAATGTAATGAGAAAAAAACACAATAGCCATGCAGTCGTCAAGTTTCCGACAGCGAGGGAAGTACTGTCTAAACTCTTTAGACCAATTTTTTTTATTGTTCTAAATAATTCGAGGGTCGCAAATATGCCAAATCTTTCTGTATCACAACAAAAATAAATTTAAGGGCGTTAAATCTCGGCTGCGAGCTGGATATTGAGTAGGGCCTCTATTGCCGACCCAATTTTTTATTCAGAATTTAAAAACATTGGTCGAAGGTTGTTTCGACAGAACTTCCCTCGTTTCTGAAATATATTGAAACATACAGCATTTTCGAAAAAATATAAAATTTGATTTTGCGAATTTTATTTCTTTTTCTTTGTAAGTTGAAAAAAAAAACATGTATGTAATGTTAAAGTAATGTGCTACACCTATGTTTCAAACTACTTTTTACTTTACAAAATTGTTTGATGACGTTATCAGCATTTTTGTAACGACACGTAGGTATATCAACTTGTATTGGTGCAATGTAATGCTAATAATAACAGTACTGTATTTCCAGATTTTCCGAAAAATGGAGTGAACCATTCCTGATTTAATCAATAAAATAAATTCATACATTCATTCATTTTTTTGAGCCACCTGTATAAGCAAATCTAAGACATACGAATGCAATGATGATAAACTACAATTACAAACTAATTTTGCACATTTTAGATGAATAAACAGGTACAGTCGTTTCCAAAAAAATTCGAGCAAGATGAGTAAATCAGGTTCTCATAGATCAATGAAAATCAGTGGGAATATAACTTTGACGTCAATGTTATTTGCCCGAAATTTTTTGGATTTGGAAACGACAGTATGTTTTGATTAAAAATTTACTATGCTTTAATAACTTTAAAACGTCTGCATGATTTCAATAAACTAACTCATTCAGTAATCTTTTTGAGTCAGCCTGTATACGCAATTCTAAAAATTATTAGGATTTATTCGGCAAAATTTTGAGATAACGTCATCAATTTTTTGGTGGGGCTAAACTCATATAATTTGATTAAAAAATTACCATGCCAACGATTACTTTAAAATGTCTGCAAGATTTGGAAGCATTCCGGTTTACAATTTCTGATTTAATCAATAAAAAGTTTACTTATTCATTAATTTTTTTTGAAATAGCCTGTAAAAACTACTAATGGAACGTCAATGACAAGCATAGACTCATCATATTTTCTACATTTTAGGTGGACTTTATTTGAAAAAATTTTGAAATGATGTCATCGAGTTTTTGGGAGGGGATAAACGTACAATTTTTATTAACGATTTACTACCATTACGATAACCTTAAAACGTTTGCACAATTTTGTTTTGCACTTTAATTGCAAAATGTTTTTATACAGTTTTAACTTTTTTTTCAAAAATCTAGATGTCGAAGGTGAAAACTCAAGACTGAGTCACACACTTCAAGTGCAAGAGTATCTTATTTTTTTAAATAAAAAACATATTATTTTAAAATTATAAAATTAAAAGAAACATAAAATAGTCAAAGAAAATAATTGTGATATAAAATCGAAAGAATGTAAATTAAAAAATCGGGAAAATGAAAAATAAAACTCAAGAATTTTAAAAATTGCGGAGACGAAAATTTGAAAAATATAAACATTACAAATTGTGAAACTGAAAAATTGTGATACCAAAAAATTGCAAATCGAAAAATTGAAAAATTTGGAAGTAGAGAAATTGCAAAATCGAAAAATTATGGCACCGAAACATTAAAAAATACAAAAATTGCAAAATCGAAAAATTATGAGGTCAAAAAATTGGTCAAAGGTTAATAAATTCAGATTTTTCGAAAAATTATCAGATTTGATTTTGCGAATTATTTTTTTATGATAATCTTTGTAAGTTAAAACAAAGATATATATATGTAATGTTAAAGTAAATGTAAAGAAGGATGCTTCGCGTAGGTTTCAAATGGATTTTTACTTTACAAAATTTTGTACAGACGTCATCAACATTTTTGCGAGGACACGTATAACAAGTTGGATTGGTTGCAGTGTAATACTAATAAAAACAGTATTGTATTCCCAAATTTTCATGAAAATCGAGTGAGCCTTTTTTTTATATAAGATTTGACAACAATCTGTTCAGTAGTTTCAGAGATTATCTGTCTAACAAAAATTCACACAGAAGGCGGACTAACAGACAGAGAGACAGACAGATAGACGGAAACAGAAACCAGTCGCCCGCTGGACTCGATTACAGTACTTTCTTAGCTCACGCTCGGGAAATAAAAATGAAAGGTTTTCGCGCATTAGGTGCATTCTGCTTTAACAAGTTTACTTTTTTATGTATGATTTTTTGTGTAACCTAAATTAAAAAGACTTTACATACGGAGCGAAAGCAATAGAACGATTGTAAATGGGTCCACCCTCGGCCAATGGCTACTTTCATGTTTTCTCGAAGTGTCACCACGAACTTTGCTCCTACAACTGTGGTTAATAAATCTGTCTTGATTTTTAGTCACAATTACTTTACAAAAATGTTTGTCAATTATTTGACGCATAAGAGACGAGTAGGTCGTGGTCAGACGATCTGTGGCATTGAATTTGGGCAACTGGAGCTATGAGCATGTGAGTTCGAATCCCACCCTACTCAACAATTCTTTTTTTAAGACGTTGAATTTGTTTCAATATTTGACTTCAGGTATGAAGGACGTTCTGTTTAAATAACTGTAGACCTCGTTTTAATTATCGAGCGTAAGCTAAGGACGTATTATAATGGAGTACATCGGGCGGCTGACTAGTCCTACACCTATAGTTTATGAATCCGTGTAGAGTTGTTACCCGAAACATTCCGATTTTTTGAAAAAATTCAAAAATATATATAAGAACATTTTGCAATTTAATTTTGATCAAAAAATTGATGACGTCGCATCAAAATTTTGCCAATTATCATTACATTAATATTTTTTAGATTTGCTTATACTGGTAGTACAAAAAATTAATGTGTCAATTTTCTTTAGCGATTAAATCAGGAACGACTCATTTTCCAGAAAATTTGGGAATACATTATACTGTTATTGTTATTAGTATTACACTGCACCAATCCAAGTTGCTACATGTGTCCTTGCAAAAATGTTGATGACGTCATCACAAAATTTTGAACTCATTTGAAACATATGCACAGCACGCTCTTTTACATCTACTTTAACATTATATATATGTTTATTTAAACTTATAGGGGTTCTCATAAAAAAATAAAGTTTGCAACACCAAATTTTATAGTTTTTCGAAAAATGTTTCATTGTACTTCAGGTGCGTGGGGAGTTCTGTAGAAACAATGTTCAATCTTTTTTTTTCTTACACCCTGCCACTGAGATTATCTATATTTTTTAACTTATTGGGATTATCATAAAATATAAATAAAATGTCGCAAAATCTGATTTTATAATTTTTCGAAGAAGTTGTATTTGTTGGACTGTACTTTAGGGATGAGGGAACTTCTAGATACTCAACCAGCTTCATTCTAAGTTTTATATTAAATATTTTTTTCGTACTTATTCCTCCCCTATAATGTACCGCTAACGATGGTTGCGATGGGAGTGATGCTTTAGGTCAAGGCTGCAGGTCATTGTTATTCAGAACTTAATTTTTTTGCACCACAGTAATTAATCGTAAATAAAATCTTCGAAAAATAAAACGTTTGTTTTAGTAATTGTATTTTGGTAGTAAAAAAGTTATGAACATGAACTTATTGGAAAAGTTTTTGCATATGATATTGTAATCAACAAGAACCAATTAGAGATGATTAGATGTGTTTCACCTTTTGTTGATCATTTTATAAGCGAACTTTGTCGAACATAATATTTTGAGATAAGAAGATAAGTAAAATGATTCATACTGATTTACTATGAAATAATTTTCGAATCGTAAGGAAAACAAACTTAATTCTTATCCCTGTTACTGTTTATTCAATACACATTTTAGTGTCCGTTGGCACTTAAAAAGAATTGGTTATATTATTTTGGAGCTAGCTATATGCAAGTGATTAATAGTGTTTAAGAATTCAATAAGAAAAACAAAATTTTAAATAGAAAAATAGGTTTATTGCACAACTAAAAAATAAGGTTGTAAATACAACAAAACTAGGTGATCAAGATGAAATGAAAAATGACACATGTTGCAAATTCAGTTTGTTCAAAATATGTTCAATTGTTAAACTTGCGAATTGTTTGCCAAAGGAAAAGAACTTAAGTGTTACTACCGAAATATTAGAGAAAATCAGTTAAAGTGAGACCAAACAATATCGCTACGTCATAACAAATCTAACATTTTTGAACAAAATACGCAGTTGCGCAACAAATAATTTCTGGTTGCACATTAATATGGAAACTCTTCACAAAGTAAAGCTAACCATATTAAAGTCTCCTCTAAATGGCAATTTTGGACAACGTGTGCATGGTAGATGAATGACATGTGATCAGTACTATTTACAAGAAATCAATTTAATTATTTTTGCTAAATAACAATTTAACAAAAATAACCAAACCGAACAGAGGCAATTAATATCACATTTATGCATTAATGGTGTCCAAAACCACCACCACCGAGGGACAATTCGTGTCCGCCGAATCCACCGCCGATACCGCCGCCGATTCCATGGCCGCCCAAGTCTCCACCGAATCCACCATGGCCTCCAAAGTCACCGCCTCCAAAGCCGCCGCCCAGACCACCGCCCAAACCGCCATCGTGTCCTTTTACCAAAACTGGTACTGGCTTCTTAACGATGTTGTATTCAGGGATGTGCACTGGGACTGGTTTGTGGACTGGTACTGGGTATGGTTTGGGGATGTGCACTGGGACTTTGACTGGTACTGGTACTTTGACTGGTACTTTGACTGGGTAAGGAATGGTCTTCTCCACTTTGACTGGGTATGGTTTGTCGATGTGTACTGGGTAGGGTTGTGGCACGTGAACAGGGTAGGGCTTATCAACCTTGTATGGTACAGGTACTTTGACTGGAACTGGTACTTTCTTCTCAACGGGAACTGGGACTGGATGTGGGATGGGCACGGAAATGGTTTTATGGAGGGTGATGTGGGTTATGTGTCCTTCGCCACCACCATATCCTCCACCGGCGCCGCCGCCGAAGCCGCCCCCGCTGCCGCCTCCGAATCCTCCACCGAGTCCTCCGTGACCTCCGCCCAGAGATAAGCCTCCGCCGTGACCACCGCCCAGAGATAAGCCTCCGCCGTGACCACCGCTCAGAGATAGGCCGCCACCGTGTCCGCCGAGAGAGATGCCGCCACCCAGACCGCCGTGGCCGCCCAAATCACCGCCTCCAAGGAGCAGACCGCGCTTCTTCTTGGCGGTTTCTTCGGCGAAAACTGCCGATGTTAAGAGCAAAGTGCAAACCTGGAACAATGATGTTGTGATGTTGCGCAAATTTTGCGAGTGAATGTCTTACCAGAAACTTCATGTTGCTAGTGGAGAATTGACGATGCAACTGTGTCTGTTCCAATTTAGTACCCGCCACTTTATATACAAGTCCATCCTCCCCTACAGTGATAGTACTTTCCCATTTCCCCCTAACATCTCTGTATACTATAGCAGCAAGTGCATTAAATTTTATTCAAATGTAACAATAAATTACACGGTAAAGGTTCACACACAATAACGATGAGCCACACGGAACAATACGGCTTTTTCGTCACAATTCGGTACCACTTAATACCGGTAGTACATATAAGTCGCGGCATAACTTTGCGGTATATTTTTTGTATCTCTTTATACAAAATGACCCAATTTTTTTTTTTCAAAAAAAAAAAATAGCGAATATAGCAAATCCATCAGGGTATGACCAACTTTACGTCGTCTGAGCCGTCAGACTTGAGAGCCTGTTGCCATAATTAAGCATATTATCAAGGCATCAGAACCTATAGCAATTTTTATTTTTTAATTTACTCGTTACGTAAAGTAACAAAGTGTAGCGGATGCTGTTCCTTAGCATGCTTTAACAAATTGTGAAATAATTATAACAGTGAGTCAATATCGTCCGTTCCTTTGCCATAGTTGCATTTCGTGTACGACAAAGTCGCAATATTCTTTGTCTGCAAAAATCTTGCAACTTTATGCAAATTAAAAATGAATTCCTTGAGTAACCCAATTTTTGCTTTAATTGCATGTGCTCTGTGTTCATCAATTTGCCAACGCATGATGGTCGATAAATAAAGCGAAATGAATAAATTCGAAAGGCGTAACAGCAACACACCGGATGAACGATCTAATCTGGAGTACAGCACTTCCCTGTATAGTTCCTAACTTTAGGTGAATGTTGTTCAATTATAGCTATTATTGCCAAACATGCAACCGTAGGAAGAACAGCAAAAATGTGTTACGTGCAGAAAAAGTTGCTTTGTTGAAAAAAGTGGCATATGGTGTGCTGCTCTCTTAAACGATTATTTAATAACTGATCTATTTGTTACGTCATTAATTATACGATGGACGCTCAAAATCGATCATCGTGTCGTTTCCTCTGCGAGCCGCTAAAAATTTCCATAAATATTTTATTAATTGTTATTACGAGCAGTGTATTTATTGAAACGTAATAATTGCAGGCACGATTTTAATATATTATGTTGAAACTCTCGAACTGTGTGTTACAGTATGAATTCAAGCATTAAGTAGAACATTTCGTTTTGTTGTGTTTCTCGAAGGTAGATAATGACATACTGTTGGTAGCTTATGGTACAATAATAATTTCATTTCAATTAAAGCATTTTCTTTTTTCAATACTTAATTAACGTACCATGTATGAAAATTTTGTACAGGATTTCAAATTGTATAAAAAATATACTCCCTTCACATTAAACGTTGTTTTTTCATCGATGAAGACGTAAAATGAAAGGAAACAGTGCTGGTGTGATGGCAGTGACTTTTTAAAAATAGAATAATTAAATGTGTGAACCAAAGTGATCGAACTGTTGTTATGTGTCAACTTTTTTAGAAGCTTTTAATGGAGTGAATTTATTAAAATAAATGCATGGAAATACCGGCACAATTTAATCTACTCGAGAATAATTAACAAAATTTAAAAAGATTTTTGCTGTTGGATAAAATAAAATAAATTAACATTTTACGAATAAAAAATCGACAAACAAGGATTTGAACCAATAAATTAAATGAGCATATATGACGTCTTAGAAGTTATTTTTCCATTAGATCTATTTGATAATTTTTTTGTGAGGACGAAAACTGAAAGCACCGAATGGGAACTAAAGAAGAATTCTTGGGTATTTGAGTGGAGCTAATATTCTCAACATGATAAGCGACGTAATAATAATAATAATAATAATAATATGTCACTGTAGGATTAAAACGTTCATCGCGGTACTGAACTGTTTACCTAAATACTTATTCACTTATTCGTCATCATTGTAACCGAGGAAGATGTCGCAGAATATGCAAACGAAAACATAGCGTAATGTACACCTTTAAAATTCTTTATAATTAATTAAATAACATTTAGTGTGGCATACTTAGTTTTTCTTAATGTAACTTTTCATTTCACAATAAAAAAACGAGTTATTGGTGATTGATGGTGGATTGATCGGTCATGAGGTTGAAACAAACTAGTCGATTTTAATAGATGAACGGGGCTTTTATAATTTGTAAAATATACTTAGTTTTCCTGTAATACTGCACAGTGATACAATAAGTTCGATCATCTAAATACCTATCTGACGTGGTTCGAAGTCTAAAATAAAAATTTTCTCACTCGATAAAAAAATTAATATTCGAACATTGTGTAAGTAATTTTCAGTTGTATGCAAAATTAGTAACATTTTATTTAACAATTTTGTTATTATTTAATTGTTGCATTAACTACGTTCTACAAAATTTATTTTTTATTAAACTGAAAACGTGATTGTTTAAAAACTCTTCGCTGAGCTTACAGTCATTAGATTTAATCCTGTCGCCGTGTTCCAGTCCAGTTTTGTGAACTACGTGTATAGACAATTTGTAATACACTTGTAGAAAGTATAATAAGTGTAGTGGAAATTCAGTTACTAACTGACTTTCAACGTAGATGAATAAATATACTCCACCTAGTACGACTAGTTGTATAATTTACGAACACAAGTAGTTTTTATAAGTACATATTGGAATTTTAGAAAAACAGCAAATTTTTGTAATAGCTAAAAATTAATATAATTTAAGTATGTATGTTCAAATTTTCTTAAACTTTTTCCATGTTTTTCAAAGTTAGTGGATTAGTTCATTTGAATTTGTTTTTTTTTCAGCACATTCTTCTTTTAGTGATTTCGAAGAGAACTATGTTTCTGTTGAAAACATTATACTGCTGACTAATTTATGAAATTAACTAAATTAAATACAATAGAATCTAAATTGAAGCGACCAATATGAACTTCATAAATATATCTAAACTTGAATAGCTGTTATTCACAGCTCCGCTAGCGTTGATTTCGCAATTAGTAATTGTTATTATTTTTTAGCCTCTGATACAGTTAATATAAATATTCGCGTCCCCCCTAGTGAACACATATACGAGGTAAGCGCCAAATATTCTCGGCCTAACAAAGAAAGAGACCTGATGGAAAAAAATTAAATATTTATATTTCAACATAGTCTCTGTTAACTTCAATACATTTAAAACTACGTTCAACTAACAGCTCTATCCGTTTAAAAAAATTATTTGAATCTTTATCACTAAAATGATGCAGTACTGCCGTTTGCACTTCTTTATCCGTCCCAAACGTTTTCCCTGCAAGTCGTTTTTTAACTTAGAGTACAGTTAATAATCGTTCGAAGCTAAGTCAGTACTGTAGGATGGGTGCTCAAGTTACTCGAAGTCACAGGCCCCTATAGCAGCTTGAGAAAGACATGCGGTATGAACGGGCGCATTGTCATGAAGCAATCGAACGCCTCTTGCTAATTTTCTCGGCCTTTTTTCCCAAATACGTTCTCCTAATTTATGCAATAAGTAACCATAATATGTAGCGTTGACAGTGGTATTTCATCCTTTAAAATTAATCAACAACATGCCTTTACAGTCCCAAAAAATTGTAGCCATGATTTTTTTGGAAGATTGATTCGTCTTCAAGGGTTTCTTACCCCATGCGAAATAACTGTAATCATTTTTTTTAGTAAAATGTGAAGGACAAGCTTCAGCAAACACAAAAACCATCCTGCCCTTAATACCCTTTAGAGCAATTCCATCTTTTGCTAAGAATTTTATTGCCGTTCGATTTTCAATTTTAAACAGGCATGATGAGTCCATAATTTTTCAAAGATTACTCCTCAAATGTATCAAAACTAATGGGCAGTAGGGCTTGAAATTTTACACACATACTGCGGGGACCCTCTAGTCTTCTATGAGTTGTACAAATTTCCCGATGAGCAATCGCAAATATATCAGGCCGAGAATATTTGGCGCTTACCTCGTAATTTAAAAGGTTTTACTTTCATACAAATTTTCATCCCCTACTTTACTCCCTTAGGGATAAAATTTTCAAAAATTCGTTCTTAGTTGGCACTTACATTACAAAAGGAACTTCTCCAATTCCATATTTCTAGCTTTAGTAGTTTAGACTCTGCCTTGATGGATCTGTCAGTATGTTAGTCAGTCAGGACAAATATTTTTACATGTAAGTGTAGATAAAAGAGGCGAAATATTCGTGCTAAATTTAAAGTTACTCATTTTTTACTTCCTGAGCGTAAGCTGAGGAAGTGTTATAATCGGATTCCATTGGATGACGGGCTACTTTTATGTTTTCTGGATGGTTCATGACCCCTGGAGTATGAAAAGATATGTTGATATGTATCCCGTTTCCGTACTTTTATTAGATAGATAATTTCCGTAACTATAGTTAAATTGTTGCCAAATTTTTAGACGTGTATTAGGAATATAGTGTAGATGCTAAAATGCTAATCAAAGTTTGGATAATTATCCCCATGATTATTATTTAAATTTTATAAAATAAGATACTCCTGTACAAGTGACTCACGAATCCATGTGGAGTTTTTACCCTAAACTCCCAGATTTTTGTAAAAAAAATCAAAATTGTTTAACAACATTTTATAATTAAACTTTGAAACTGCAGAACAGAACGCTCTGAAAACTTGCAACTGTTTTAAAATTATCGTAAGCGTGGTCAATTGGTAATCAAAATGTTTTCGTTTATGTCCCCCAACAACGTGATGACGTCATTTTACAATTTTGCTGAATACAAAATTCCTTAAATTGCATAGAATTAGATACTGCTGCGTGTGTAATTTATGAATCCGTGTAGCTTTTTTTTCAGAAACATTCAGATTTTTGGGAAAAAAATCAAAATTGTGTAACAACATTTTATAATTTCATTTTGAAATTTCAAAACCGAATGCTCTGAAAATTTCCAAGCGTTTTTGAGGTTACCTTAAGTGTGATAAATCGGTAAACAAAATTTTTTCGTTTTTCAATCTAACTTTGAAATTGCAGGAACTGAATGCTGTGAAATCTGGCAAATACATATTCTAAAG